ACGGGGCTCCTTGTCCAGGAAAACCAAGAAGTCGCTGTAGGTGGGCCTGCCTGCCCCATCCATCGCCAGCACCCGCTGGCCCGGGCGCAGTGCCCACAGCGGTGTCCGGGCACCGTCCTCCAGCGTTGCCAGCGCCCTGCCGGGGAAGCAGCCCCCCGTCTTCGCAGCGGCCGAGTGCTCTGCGCAGGGAGAGAGAGGACAGGAGGGTTACCCATCTGCCAGACGCCCAGCATCACCTCTCCACAATGCAGAGACCCTCCGAGGCTGCCGAGCTTTGCCCATCCGGGGATAACCCTGTCCTGGCATCACCAACATGCACGTGTCCCCTACACACCCCCAGCCACCAATCCAGCCTCCCTGGGCGCCTGCTCCCCCAGCCACCGTGTCATTGGGGGTGGCACTTGGGGGTTCAAGCCATGCATGGCAGCACCTGCTCCCCCCTGTGGTGTCAGGGTGCTGGGACTGCTCTGCAGAGCCAGGTCTTGAAATCCTCTTGGCAGGGGGAGCAGGGCACAGCCACAGCCCTGAATGTGCAAGGCAGTGCCAGGGGACACCTGAAGCTCAAAAGATGGGAGGCAGAGCCCTGAGCCGGTGGCAGGCTGAGGAGCAGAGTGCCTGGTCACACTTGGCATACCCACAGCATCCCCATCCCCTGCAGCGCTGGGCCTGGGTACTGCCAGGGAAGATGCTACAAGGAACTCTGCAGGGTGCAGCACCCTCCCCCAGCACCGCAGCACCCCCCACCCTGCACTGCAGCCCCGCTCCCTTCTCCCGCCTGCTCACCCTATGCTCCCTGCACCGCTGATGCCAGCTGAATCCCTCTCTGAGCTGCAGGGAGATGTCACAGCCCGTGGCCATCATCAGGCAAATGCCACCAGCCTCCTGGGCAGGGCTTCACTAGCGGTTGTCACACTGTAAAGCACCCAGTCTCTCTGGGGCTTGTCTCCTGGGATGGTGGCACAGTGGTCCTACGCCTCCCCAGATGAAAAGATGCAGCAAGTCACTCAGTGTCTCCAGGGGCCCATCCAGCCAGACATTGGCATCAGGGGCTCAGCACTAGCAGGGGAACCCTAGCTTCCCAAGGAACGGTGCTCAGCTCCCACAGCAGCCCTGGACCCCCAAGCCTGAGCAGCCCCCATCTTAGGGTCTATTTGATGTCCGTCCACTATCTGCCAGGGGCAGCTCATCTAGGGTCCTGCTCCTGACCCTGCATGGTCCCTGCTCCTGACCCTGCATGGTCCCAGCTTCCAGCTCCCAGTCCCCCTTGGGACGCTTTCCCAGTTCCCCCATCTAATCCCTGAGTGTTCCCACCCAGATGGCACTGCCCCCCATCCCTCCCCAGCTTTGGGCAGAGCCAAATCCCAGCCCCCAGGCCCATGAAGAGAGGCATCCATCTCTGGGACAGAATCCTTTTATTGCTCAGACAAGGTGCAGCGTCTGCCCCATGCCTGCCCCAGAGGCCAGGTCCCCAATCCTGCACCCTGCGTCCCCAGGCAGGCGGCAGAGCCGTGGGGAGGGGCTGGCAGGAGGGCGGGAGGGGCACCTGGCAGAAGCGGGGGGCACAGGCGCTGGGCATGAA